TTGGTGGTGGTGGTGGTGCCCAGAGTTTATTCCTGGTGGTGCTCGGGGGATCCTGAGCTGGGGACACCTGCCTGGCAGGCCAGTGCCTTGAGCCCTGTGCTCTCATCTCTCTGCTCCTTCCTTTCTTTTTTCTTGTCTGGACCTTGGTTAAGGGACTTAAGCCACGGGACAGGCGTGTTTGTTTCTAAACTGGAGGTGGAGAGGCTCTTGCTTCATGCTTGTACTCCCTGTTCCCACATGCCTGCCTGGTCCCCTGGGATACCGGGTCAGAGCCAGAAAGCAGAGATTAGTAGTTCTGTAAAATGCCTTAGATTATTCAGAATGTTGTTTTCCAGAGGAAGTCAGTTAATTGGCTGCTAAAGGGAGTTTCCTGGCAAGTTCTTGTTGTCTGGTCCTTTAGACTGAGAGTAAGTAGGAATGACTTTGCTGGCCTTTGCAGTGTATGTGTGTGTGTGGGGGCGGGGAGGGGGTATTAGACAAAGTACATGAAGTGATAAAAACAACGAAACTTGGGAGTCCTTTAGAATCTGCATGCTAATTACTCAGGTTTAAGTTTAAGTTGGGTGTTGCCGCCCACATATTTATTTATTTCTTTTAACTATTTAAACACTGGTTTACAAAGTTGTTCATAATGCAGTTGTTTGGGGCATTCAGTATTCTAATACCAAACATAGCACCAGTGTGACCTTCCCACCTCCACCATTGTCCCCAGTTTCCTGCCCTCCCTCTATGTCTGCCCGCTTGGCAGGCACAAAATAATTTGTTTATATTGCTTATTACAACAAAATGGCAAATGGAATTATCAAAAATATAAAAAAATAATTCAGGGGGCGCAGCATCGCCAGCAGGTCAACCCTACCTGAGGGGTGAGTGCATCAGCAGCCTGATGATGCCTCCAGGTTTCCTGATACCACCAGATCACCACTGTGACTGGCTGGATCCCAAAAACCCAGGACCGAATTTCCCAAGAAATGAAAAAGTTAGGTATGTGGGAGCCACGCCCACCTCCAGCTCAGCCATAAATGCTCACTTATTGTCCTTGCTTCAGAAACCCATAAATAAATCTCAAGAGATCAAAAGTCACAGTTAATCTCTGACCTGTGCTAGGCTGAACAGACAAAGGTAAATCGGGGGATGGGGGGCGAGTCAGCCTGGTGCCCGCCCAAGCAGAGCCTCTGGCGGCAGCTGCTTGCCCCCACAATCCAAAATTAGCGCCATGCCCCCCCACCCCCCACCTCTGTCCAGAATCCACTGTCTCAGAACCTCACCAAGACATTAGCCTGTTGAAAATTTGGATGTGAGGGTTTTGTAACTGCAATCTCCAGGCTTTCCCGGGGTTGAGATGGGCCACCTTGCCCCACTTCCCTATACTCAGGGAAGCACTGGCAGTCACCCCATGAACCAACTCCAGCACCACCATGTAACTCTACTAGTGCCCTTGCTTCAGGGGCCCATAAATAAATCTGAAAAGAGATCAAAAGCTGCAGTTAGTCTCAGGCCCGCACAAGCCTAAACAGACCAGAGTAAATTGGAGGTGGGGGGCAGGTCAGCGGGTGCCCACCCAAGCAGAGCCCCCAGCAGCTGCTTACTCCCACAATCCAGAATCACTTCCGTGCCCCTGGCCGGACTCCACTGTCTCAGGACAGACCTCACCGAGATATAATATGCTGAGAATCTGGGTGTGTGGGTTTTGTGACTGAAATCTCCAGGCTTTCTTGGGGTCTGGATGGGCTACATCCTCCCACACACCTCCTTGTACTTCCGGAAACCTCAGCAGTCACATCCGCACCCCAGAGCTGTCACTCAGTTAAAAAGCTTCCTCCCGCCTTGTCTTCCTGATAAGAATACTGAATGCCCTGAAGAAACACCGTGGCCTCTGAGCACCTGTAATCACAAACCATAATGCACAAAAGGAGAGAGAGAAAGCAGGAAAGGGCCTGCCATAGAGGCAGGCTGGAGTGGGGTGGGGGGTGTTGGAGGATGGTGGGATGGAAAAGGGGGGCATTGGTGGTGAGAAAAAAAAAAACAGGAAAATAGTAAAAAAAAAAAAAATATCTGTGAAAATTCTTGCATCTCACAATGGGGCTATTGAAGTCATTGTCCCGGGCTTTCCCGAGCTGCTTGTTGCCTTCTGTGCTACAAGCGGGCAAGCAGCATTTGGCATCTGGACCCCAGTGCCCCCCACTCCTGACCTTAGCAGGCTTCTCCTCCTTTGCCATCTGATTTGCTGTGCTCCTGCTGAGCTGTCAGTGCTGTGGAGTTTGGAGGTGTCCTGGAGCTCCGGGAGTTGTAGAACCAGGGTTGTTCTCAGCCCACCCTTTGCCTGAGGGGTCCTCAGAGTTTTCAGCCCAAAGACCTCGGTGCCCCTGAGTTTCATCTGCGGGGACCCGCCCAAGTATCTAAATGACTTTTCCCTCACTCTTTCCTCCGGTGTCTCATCCATACACGGACCCTGGGGCAGGGCCCTGTTCCCAGATGCTAAGGCCCAGACGCAGGGCCAGGTGTGTGCCCGCAATGGGGGGGCCCTGGGGTCCAGATGCCAAATGCTGTTTGCCCTCTGAAGTTGTTTTATTTTTAAATTGAATCACCGAGAATTACAAAGATATTTATGACTGAGTTTCAGGTGTATATTGTTCCAAGACGCATCCCTTCACCTAGACTCCCCGTCCTAGACTCCCCCAGTGTCCTCAGTTTCCCTTCCACCCTGCCCCGGCCCCCGCAGCCTTCCTTCCCACATTATCCTGGTGTTCTCTCCTCACCCTGCCTGAGGCACTGATCCCGGAGCACTGAGCCAGGAGTCAATTCTGAGCACCACTGGATATGGCCCCCAAAAAAACAATAAAAAGAAAAAGAAAGGTTTCAGAGAGTCATACAGTGCCACAACTGAGTTCTTTGTTGGTTTGTTTTTTTTGGGGGGGGGCATATTGTTGTTGAGGTGCCACTCCCGGCCATACTTGTGGGAGCGACCCCGCCGATTTGTGTGGTGTCCTTTGAGCTTGCTCCAGCCTGCCATTTGGCGGCACCCAGTGTTCTTCAGCCTTTTTGCTGCTTTGTTGTGGGAGGGATGCTGAAGGGCCCTGCCCTGGCCCCCTTTATGGTTCAGCTTCTATAGCAGAGTGTCCCTAGGAAGAGTCAGGTGAATCCCTTCATTCTTTTGTTTGTTTGTTTGTTTGTTTTGGTTTTGGGGCCACACCCAGGGGCTGTTTCCTCCCTGCAGCCCGCCTGGACTCTCCACTCGCCTCCCACTTTTGGGTCCCAGTGGTTGGCCAAGACTCCTAAGGACAGTGACTCTCAGTGCCCTCAGTGGTATGGAGGGTTGACTCCTGGCTCTGTGCTCAAGGCTCAGCCATACGCATACAAGGCAAACGCCCTTCCCGCTGCCCTGTCTCTCTAGCCCCTAGCTCTCTTACCTTCTAACTAAGGGACTTTGGCTGGTGTCCTCTTGAGAGACTTCCCCGAGGTCTGCCCGGCTACCGTCGGCGTCCACGGGTCTTCCCAGGCCATCATCCTCACGAAATGCAGAATCCTAGCTAAACAGCTGTCTGTCCATTCCACCCCCCGACCCTGGTGCTCCGAAAAAACTTGTCAGAGTCACCGGGTTTCCCTTCTGAGTGCTGCAGAAGATTGCCTTGTAGAGTGGTGCCCCGCCTGACACGCTGCCAGCCTGGCCCTGCTTGTGTCCAGCCCACGGTGGCAAGCAGCGGAGGGTGTCTGGGCCTTGGGAGCCAATGCTGACCCAGAGCAAACTCCTATAGGGCCCAGATCTGTAGACGCAGAAATAGAGAAGAAAGGCCGTTTCCTCCCTGCAGCCCGCCCGCCTCTCCACCCGCCTCCCACTTTTGGGTCCCAGTGGTTGGCAAAGACTCCTGAGGACTTTGGTTGAGGACTTTGGGTCCCCGCGGTTGGAAAAGTCTCCTGAGGACAGTGACTCTCAGTGCCCTCGGATGCAGTTACTCTCCACTCCCATGGGGCTGCGCCAGGGGGAGCTGTTTCTCAAATGGCCTTTGTCGGTTCAGGCTGGGTGGGTGGTGAGGAAGAAGCGGGCCGCTTCCCTGCAGACCTGGGACATGTCTCACTCATTCTCCTGGAGGTTCCAGGGGAGACGAAAGCCACTTGGACAGAGTCGTGATGGTGGTGGTGGTGGACACGGCTCACGGGGGACAGTGGTGTCCTGCATGTCTTTCCCCTGTGAGGGCCTGGGTTTGACCCTGTGACTTCCTGCTTCCCCCCGTCCCACCCCGCACCTCTGCTGATGGTGGCCCTCCAAACCAACCACAGGGGCCAAGAGAGGCAGGACAGCGGTTGGGCGCTTGCATGGTAGTTGGGCCGCCTGGGGGCAATCCCTGTCACCCCACATGGTCCCCCAAGCACTGCCAGGATTGATGTCTACATACAGAGCCAGGCGTCAGCCCTGAGCACTGCCAGGTGTAGCCCCAAATTCAAAAAAATCACACAGAAGGGCTGGAGCGACAGTACAGCGGGGAGGGCGTTTGCCTTGCACGTGACCGAACCAGGTTCTATCCCCAGCATCCCATATGGTCCCCCGAGCACCGCCAGGAGTAATTCCTGAGTGCATGAGCCAGGAGTAACCCCTGTGCAAAGCCGGGAGTAACTCTTGAGTGCAAAGCCAGGAGTAACCCCTGTGCATCAAAAAATCACACAGAAACCCACCACTGAGAGTTGTAGAGCAATAGGCAGCGGCTTGGGAGCTCGCCTAACGGCCGACCCACACTCTCCCCTCAGCACCACCAGGAATGAATCCTGAGCCCAGAGCCAGGAGTAATCCCTGAGCATCACGGGCGTGCTTCCCCGTCCCCACAAAAAGCCCCCCAAACCCCAAACAAACAGAGTGTCTGATGGGGGATGGAGTCTCAGGAGAGAGGACGGGGCCCCAGCGGCTGCCTCAAGACCCGGCCCTCCTGCTCCCCAGCGTCCCCCACCCCCCGGGCCCCCCCCCAGGTTAGTGACCTCCCTGCCCCCCATCTCTCTCTCCCCTGCAGGCTGATGCACGTGAGGATGCAGGAGCTGCCGCTGGAGGTGCGCGGCGCCTCCCCCCAGCCGGGCCGTGCGGCCGTGCGGTCATGATGCGGGACCCTCATGGCCTCCGCCGGAACCGAGCACTTCCGAATCGGCCTCCGCCGGCAGAGCGGCTTCCAGCAGGGCGGGCCCCCCACGGCCCCCGAGAGAGCCGCTGAGGGCCCAGGCTGGGTTCAGGCCCACCAGCAGGTGAAGCCGATCTGGAAGCTGGAGAAGAAGCACGTGGGGGCGCTGTGGGCAGGGCCGGGCCCTGGCCTCCTGGGGGTCACACCGCAGCCCGCCTACTTCTTCTGCCCCCGGACTCTGTGCCGGGCAGGGAGTGCTGCGGTCATCAGTGGTGGCAGCAGCGGCGGCGGCGGCAGCAGCAGCAACAACGGTGGCGGTGGCGGTGGCGGCCGTGCCAGCTCGTGCTCCCTGCAGTCGCTGCCGGGCCTCTTCGGCAACAGCCTGCTGTACCGGCGCTCCAGCACGCGGCTCCGGCCCTACCAGCAGCTGGAGTCCTTCTGCCTGCGCTCCGTCCCGTCCGAGCGAAGACCCTTCTCCTTCCCACACGGTAGCCTTGCCGCCGGCCTCACTGCCAGGCAGGCCTCCTCGGCCTCGGCCTCCACCATGGCCCTGCCACTGGCCCCCTCGCCCCCGGGGCCCTACCTCTCCCTGCAGGGGGCGGCCGGGGAGCACGCTGCGGCCAAGGGCCTGGTGGCCCCCACCACCGCGGGCAAGACCCCGGCGCCGCTCACCCCGCCGCCCGCCTACAAGCCCGTGCTCAACAACAACGCCTTCCTGCGACCAAGCAGCACCAAAGTGCCTTTGCTGCCGGCCCCCGAGACCCTGAAGCCGCTCGTGCCCGCCAAGATCCAGCTGGTCTCCTGGCATCCCCCCGGGGGCACCGGCGACTGTGCCATCCAGCCCCTGGAGCCCAAGCTGCTCGGCAGCGGCGGCGGCGACGATGATGACGACGACGACGACGACGGCTCTGGCCCGCTCCCCGAGACCCTGCCAGCCCCCGAGGACCGCGCCCCCACTCCCCCGGCCCAGGCCAGGGACGTGCAGCTCACCGAGGCCGTGCGGAAGCTGACCGCCGGGGGCTTTGACCAGAGCCTCCGGGAGGGCAGCTGCGAACCCGAGCAGCCCAGGTTCCTGACGCCGAGCCTGCTGTGCGGCGGAAGCCCGTCGTGGAAGGCCCCCGGCGAGTTGCAGGAGACGGCCGCGGCCAACGGTGCCAGCGACACCCAGGTCTTCTGCACCAAGCGCATCAGCATCCACCTCCTTGCCTCCCACACTTCTGCTGCTGCTGCCGCCGCCACCAGCGGACTCAGCCCTGGCCCGTCCTGTGGGGCTGGGGCCAGTCCCCCACCCCTGCCCCTCGGAGAAGACCAAACTCTGGTCCTGCCTTCCCCACCTCAGCTGCTGCCCGACATCACCGGCGTGACTGCGCACCTCTCCTCGGTCCACCTGGACCAGCCGGCGAATCCGGGGCCCGCGGAAGGCAGGGAGCTGGACTCGCCTGCTGGGTGAGGGGGGTGGGGGCCTTCCTGGGGGGCTGCGGAAATGAGGACCGCCCTTGGGAGGGGGGCGGGGGCGTGCCCCAGCCTGCAGGCCCAGTGCCCTCGCTGATGGATTTGCCAGGTGTCCCCCCTCCTCCAGGGGGCCTGGACTGGCCTTGCTGCTTGCCAAAGCCTCTCTCCTCCTCACGCCGGGTTGGGCAGGGGGGGCGTCTGCGGGATGGCTCCCAGAAACCCTGTGTGAGACCCCTTGTCTGGCCTCTCCTCATTTGGCTCCACCGCACCCCTGCTTTGGGGGCTTGCCAGGGGCAAAACTCAAGACTTGCAGGGGCTCAGGTCCCATCCCTGGCTCCACACACTTCCCCGAGCACTGCGCTGGGAGTAGCACCGGAGCCTTACCTGGGGAGGCCCAGAAGCCAGAACCAAGCACCAAGCCAACCAGACCCCCAGAGAGACCCCCCACTCCACGCCACTGTTTCTGGGGCCACTGTGCCTGGGCTACTTAATTCCCAAAAAGGATGGCGTCCTGGGTCCCTCCTGCACCTGCAGTGGTTGGAGACTCGGGGTGGTCGCGTGCCCAGCCCCCCATCTCCCTCCTGCTCCCTCTTGGGATGCGGGGGGTTGAATTCCTGAGAGGCCCCCGTGGTCAGACACCCAGACACGGTGCCTGGGGGCGGGAGTTGTCCTTGCAGTGCTGCGGGACTCTTGAGAACAAGGCAAGGGCCGAGGGCCGAGGAGGCGGGAGCCCCATGGCCCCTGCCAGAGGGTCTGTCCTTGCCCCGTAGCTCAGCCGCTGATCTCCAGCTCACCCCGGTGGAGGGGGAAGACCTGGAGGAAGAGCTCGTGGATGGCCTGGAGGATTCCTGTAGCCATGACGAGGATGAAGAGGAGGGTGAGGCGATGGGGCCCCTCAGCTCTGCCCGGGCCACAGCGGGCTTCTCAGCTTGGGGGCAGGGTGGGGAGCTGGGGTCTCTCCTCCCCCCGGCCTCCGCCTCCACCTCAGCCTGCCTCTTCCCGCTGCTGGTGTCTGGGGGTCACCACCCACTGGACTCTCTCTGTCGCCTCCCCCAACCCCCCCAGGAGACTCGGACTGTTCCTCCTCCTCCACCGCGTCCCGTGGCGAGTCCCTCATGGTGATCTCTCGGTGAGTGTTGGCCAGTGGCCTGCGGCTGGGGATCGGGGGCAGGCAGGGGGGAGGGAGGGATCCAGGCAGCTGCAGGGCCTTGACTGACTGATCCCTCCCCCAAGGAGAAGATAGTCGCCAAAAGGAGCCGGGTTGGGGGACGGCAGCCCATGCAGAACCCCCTGAAGTGTCCCACACCCGATCTGAGCTTTCCCGCTTCGGCTCTCTCGTGACTCACACTTGATTTCTCCGCATTTCTCCCTTGGCTGTAACGGAGCCTCTTCCTCCACCCAAGTTCCTTGAACCCCCCACCACACCCCACCCCAAAAGCCCCTGGACGGCCACGGTCTGCCAGCCTGCGCGGGGGGTGGAGCATTCTGGCGCCCCATCCCAGAGTGCAGCACTGGCAGGTCACGGGCCTGTAGGTGGCACCTGCCGGTGGTCGTGTCCTGGCACCTCATGGGTCACTGTCTGTGGTCCTGGCCGGGCACTTGTCTCTGTCCATCCGAACTGGGAAGACACCCCCGGAGGGGCAGACAACCCCCGCCAGTGAGCGTCCTGTCCTTCCTCTGATGGTGTGTGGGTCTGTCTGTCCGTCCGACCGCAGGAACTGCACGGAGATTCTCGCCAAGTCCTTTCCCGGTGAGAAGGTGGTGCAGCCGGCTCTCGTCTACAGTCTCTTCCCCAATGTGCCCCCCACCATCTACTTTGGCACCCGGGACGAGAAAGGTAAGCCCGGCCCGCATCCAAGCCCCGGAAGGCGGCAGCTGGAGCTGGCAGCTGGAGCCGGGGTGGGATGGGAGTGGGGGGCTGTCCTCGTCCCACCTTAAACGGGCCCTCACGTTACAGCCTGCTCTCTCCCCTCTCCCGTCCTCCTCCCCGCAGTGGAGAAGCTTCCCTGGGAGCAGAGGAAGCTGCTGCGGTGGAAGATGAGCACGGTGACCCCCAACATCGTCAAGCAGACCATCGGGCGGTCCCACTTCAAACTCAGCAAGCGTAAGTGGTGGCGGTGTGCCCAGCGCTGGGGGGCGGGGGGAGAGACCTCGGCGGGCGCGTCCTGCGCCAGGGCTGACGGGCGCCCACCCTGCTGTGCCTCTCCTAGGGAGCGATGATTGGCTGGGCTGCTGGGGCCACCATATGAAGTCGCCCAGCTTCCGGACCATCCGAGAGTACCAGAAGGTGGGCAACCCCCCTCCACCACCCCATAAGTATTTATTTATTTGCTTTTTGGGTCACACCCGGCGATGCTCAGGGGTTCCTCCTGGCTGTGCACTCAGGGATTACTCTGGCGGTGCTCAGGGGACCATATGGGATGCCGGGTATCAAACCCGGGTCAGCCATATGCGAGGCAAATGCCCTGGTTTTGCTTTTTATCGAAGGGTCAGGCTCTCCCGGCCATACTTGGGCTGCTCCCAGTGGTGCTTAAGGGCCCAGGTGGTGTTGGGGATCAGACCCACCGAGCCCTGTTCCTGCCCCCCCTCTTATCTTTCTTCAAGGGGCAGCACCCAGCCCTGCTTGACCCGCCCTCCAGGCCTAATGGTCTGGGTGCTGCTGGGCGTGGCTGTGGGTTGCCCAGCTGAGGCGCGTGACGTGTTCCCCCTCTTGAGCTGTCTCCACGCCCCAGGAGCCCCTATCTCAGGTTCCATCACCCCCCCTTCCCCAGACTCCCGGCCAGGCAGAGGAGATGGACATCGGGAAGGGTGGGGAGTAGGGCTGACCTTGAGAAAGCGGGCTGGTCTCTTGGGCGGGGAGGTGGGCAAAGGGGGAGGGCAGCTGCGGCCTTTCTTGACACTTGGTCAGTGCTAACCGCGCATGTGTGTGGGAGGGCTCTGAACTCAGCCACGGCCCAGCACGCCCTTCCTGCCTGCGGCCCAAAGCAGGGGACGGAACTGCGTCCCCTTCGCACCTAAGGTGACCCACAGCTTAGTCCGCCCGAAGCTCCCAGGCTGCCAGCTCCTAGAGGACACTCGGTCTTGTTGTGGGGGCCAGGGTTTGTGCCTTAATCTCCAGGGGAGTCTCTCTGCAGCTGACCCTTTACATTGGCTGAAGCCAGAGCTTGGGTGGTCTCAGGGGGAGGCGGCGTGGCCACCCGCTTCCGGGCTTCTGCCTCTGTCCTCTCTCTCCCCCCTCCCCCCCCCTCATCTGTCTGTCTCCTCTCCCCTCCACCCCCCGCCCCTTTCAGCACTGTGTTTGCAGTACTGGGTACGGTGCATCTCCCTTTTCCTTCCTCTCTGCACCCAGTTCTTGTCCAGAGGGATCATTTCTGACTCTCACGATCACGGTGGTCCCTTCTCTTTCCTAACTGCCCTCCCCCTTTGTTTCTATTTCTGATTTTGTTTTGAGTTTTTTTTGAGGGGGGGAGGGTGTTTTTTTTGGCGGCGGTCAGGGGCTATTCCTGCAGTGCTTGGGGTCCTTGCGGTGTCAGGGACCCAGCCAGGGGCAGCTTCGTCAGGGGCCAGCATCTTACCTCCGGCTCTCTCTCCTCCTTCTCTTTCTTCCCTCTCCCTCTCCCTCTCCCTCTCCCTCTCCCTCTCCATAGCTCAACCACTTCCCAGGCTCCTTCCAGATCGGGCGGAAGGACCGGCTGTGGCGGAACCTGTCGCGCATGCAGAGCCGCTTCGGGAAGAAGGAGTTCAGCTTCTTCCCGCAGTCCTTCATCCTGCCGCAGGACGCCAAACTCCTGCGCAAGGCCTGGGAGAGCAGCAGCCGCCAGAAGTGGATCGTCAAGCCAGTGAGTTGGGCGGCGCGCCGGGGACAGTGGAGGGGGGCGGGGTGGGGGTCCCTCCCTCGCTGGCCGGCTCTGGGGCCAGGGCGCATCCCGATGTGCCCTGCCCTGCCCTCCCCTTGCAGCCAGCGTCGGCACGGGGCATCGGCATCCAGGTGATCCACAAGTGGAGCCAGCTCCCCAAGCGTCGACCCCTGCTGGTGCAGAGGTGAGTGCCCGCGCCAAGCCACCCCCCCACTCCCAGCATCCCCGCACAACCGCCCTGAGCTGGGCCGGCCTTTACCCAGCCACCCCCCTCCCCCCCAGGTATCTGCACAAGCCCTACCTCATCAGCGGCAGCAAGTTCGACCTGCGCATCTACGTGTACGTCACCTGCTACGATCCTCTGCGCATTTACCTCTTCTCTGATGGGCTCGTCCGCTTCGCCAGTTGCAAGTATGTGTGTGTGTGTGTGTCTGCGTGTGTGTTTGTGTGTGTGTGTGTGCGTCTGCGTGTGTGTGTGTGTCTGGGGGGAGGGGGGGTGCATGCACTACTTTCAGGGGGCTTCGGCTCCCCGGGGCAGGCAAACCCGGGACCCCCACACAGCCGAACGGCCAGGCTGGGGGGAGTTTGGTTAGCCGAGTAGAACGCGGGGTGCGTTTGGGGAAGCCCCCTTGTTCCTGCCCTCCTCCATCTCCTGGACTCCTCCAGGGCGCACGTCATCCCTGGTACTTCCGGGGCCAGGCCCGACCCTCTGCCCAGCACTCAGACGTCTCCGAGATCGGAGACTTAGTCACGTGGGACGGGTGGGTGGGGCCGGGCCGGAACTCCTCTCTGCTTCTCTGTGTGCCCTGTGACCAGCCCCACCCGCAGCCACCAGACTCCTCTCTGTCGAGCAACCCCCTCACCCAGGAGGTGGCCTAGGTTTCGGGGGGTCCTCTGGGAGGAATTGGGGCCCGAGAGCAAGTAAAGAGCGAAAGGTGGGCCGGAGTGGTAGTACGGCAGGTAGGGCGTTTGCCTTGCACGCTTGCACGCGGCCAACCTGGGTTCGATTCCCAGCATCCTATATCGTCTCCCGAGCACCACCAGAAGTAATTCCTAAGTACAGAGCCAGGAGTAACCCTTGAGCATGGCTGGGTATGACCCCCCCCCCCCAAAAAAAAATAGCAAAAATAAATAGTGAAAGGTGCTCTTTGGGCTCTGGGGGAGGGTGGACACACCTGGCAGTGCTTAGGGCAGACTCTTGGCTCTGTGCTCAGGGCTCACCCCTGGCAGGGCTTGGGGCACACCCTGTGTGGTGCTGGGCATGCAAGGGAAGTGCCTTGCCTACTGTACCCTCACTGTGGCCCTCCTGGGGCTCTTTTGCTCCGTCATTCTTGGGAATTGACAGGGATGCCCCTTGTAGCTCTGTGCCAGGGACTGAGGCCATAGGTCAATATGTTTTTCTTTATGGGGAGAGGTGGGGGAGCCCCACACCCTGCTGTGCCTGGCTCTGTGCTCGGGAGTCACCCCTGGTGGTGCTCAGGGGACCCAGGGGTGGCTGGATGCAAGTCAGCGCCTCTCCTCATGCTCCTCCGCTCTGCATGTTTCTGCGCGGAAGCGACAGTGGCCAGGGGGCGTGGAGTAAGGCTCCCCGCTGGCCCCGAGTCCTGGGAGCCTCTCCGCAGGACTGACGTGGGATAGAGAGAGGCCAGGGACCGGTGCAACAGGACAGCAGGGAGGGCACTTGCCTTGCATGCTTTCCATCCCCGGCATCCCAAAGAGTCCCCCGAGCACCACCAGGAGTGATTCCTGAGCACAGAGCCAGGAGTAACCGCTGAGCATCCCTGGGTGTGCCCTCCCCCCCCAAAAAAAAGAATAATCTGGTGGTGGTGTCCTGGAACTGCTCCGCGACTGGGAAGGTCTGTGCCCGTGCACAGGGCGTCCAGGTCTGCTGTCCTGTCTGCTCAACCCACCGCCCCCCTGCCTGTCCCTGTGGCTCCAGGTACTCCTCTTCCATGAAGAGCCTGGGCAACAAGTTCATGCACCTGACCAACTACAGCGTCAATAAGAAGAACGCCGAGTACCAGTCCAACGAGGACGAGACTGCCTGCCAGGGCCACAAATGGTACCTGGGCTGTTGGGGGGTATCAGGGAACCCCTGCCAGGACCACAGATGTTCCTCTGGACTGGGTCCCTGTCCTGAGAGCTGCCAGTTGTGGTTGGGGGGTGCGGAGCACAGCGAGGATTGATCCAGGACCCAGAGAAGCTCTGAACCCCCCCTCTCCCCCCCAGCATACTCTGGTCTGTATACCTTGGAGCTGAGTTGCTGGGAAGAGAAGCACTTTGGTCCCGCCCAGCCTCAGCCCTGGCCCTCCCCGCCTCGCCCCTCCCCACAGGGCACTCAAGGCCTTATGGAACTACCTGAGCCAGAAGGGCATCAACAGTGATGCCATCTGGGAGAAGATCAAGGATGTCGTCGTCAAAACCATCATCTCGTGAGTCCTGCGGCCCTGCCTCCCTCACACTTTTTTTTTTTTTAATTTTATTGAATTTCCATGAGATAGTTACAAGCTTTCATGCTTGGGTTACAATCACACAATGATCACACACCCATCCCTCCACCAGTGCACAGTCCCCAACACCAATATTCCTGGTATACCCCCCCTTTCCCACCCTCCCCCTGCCTCCATGGCAGACAATATTCCCCATACTCTCTCTCTTCTTTTGGGCATTATGGTTTGCAATACAGATCCTGAGAGGTTACCATGTTTGATCCTTTATCCACTTTCTGCACACATCTCCCATCCCGGCCAATTCCTCCAGCCATCTTTTTTTTAGCAAGCCCTTCTCTATTCCAGCTGCCTTCTCACCTTCGCTCATGAGGCAGACTTCCAGCTATGGAGCAATCTATCTGTCCCGTGTGTCTACTATCCTTAGGTGTCAGCCTCATGTTATGTCGTTTGATACTCCACAAAGGAGTGCAGTCCTTCTATGTCTGTTCCTCTCTTTCCGACTCATTTCACTTAGCATGATACTCTTCATGTCTATGCATGTACCTATATGTTCGTTGCAGCACTGTTCACAGTAGCCAAAAATCTGGAAACAACCCAAATGCCCTAGAACAGATGACTTGCTAAAGAAACTTTGGTACATGACACAATGGAATACTATACAGCTGTTAGGAGAGATGAATTCATGAACTTTGCCTCCCTCACACTTGCCCAGCAGGCCCCACCACCTTGGTTTTCTAGGGTGGGGGGCAGGGGGGTGTGCTGCTGCAGGGGGCGGGGTGCTGAGCGCTGCCTCTCGCCTGGGCCAGGTCGGAGCCGTATGTGACGAGCCTGCTGAAGATGTACGTGCGGCGGCCCTACAGCTGCCACGAGCTCTTCGGCTTCGACATCATGCTGGACGAGAACCTCAAGCCTTGGGTCTTGGAAGTCAACATTTCCCCCAGGTTGGGGTCTTCTCCTTGCCTTGGCAGCAGCACGTAACCCCTCGCCCTCTTGCGTCCCCCCCTCTCGCCAGTCTGTCTGTACACACACATACACACACACACACACACACACACACACACACACACACACACTCCTGGAAGTGTCCTTGGAAGTGCGGGTGAGTGTTGGGGCCTTCCCATTCCCCAGGAGACAGGTCAAGAGCGAGGTCACTCACGCCGCCCGGGCCCGGCATCCAGCGGGATGGCCCCCAACACCCCCCGTGCCGAGGGAGCCCGTGGAGCACGTCCTGCCTGGCTCTGGGGTCTAGGGGCCTGTTGGGAGCCGGACCCTGACCCTGGCGCCCCCTCCCGCAGCCTCCACTCCAACTCGCCCCTGGACATCAGCATCAAGGGCCAGATGATCCGGGACCTGCTCAACCTGGCGGGCTTCGTGCTGCCCAGCACCGAGGAGCTTCTGTCCAGCAGCTCCAGCGGCTCCAGCAGCAGCTCTGGCCTCAGGTTCGGCACCACCCCCCCACCCCCCCCCCCACAGACACACACACCGCTTGGCGTGGCTCCCTGCTCAGGACCTGGGGCTTCGGGTTTCCCCGCCTGCCCTCTCCCAGGTGTCCTGAGCTGGGACAACTGGGACTCCGGCTGCGACCTCGGCTGCCCACTTTGCTCTCGGGAACGGGGCTCGTCTCTCCCTCTGTGGCACCGGGGACGTCCTGTCCCTGCTCTCGGGGTTCCTTCCTCCTGGAGAGCCCCCTCGCCTGACCTTTCCGCTGTGACCTCCCGGAGCCCAGCCCTCACCCCGGGTCTTAGAGCTACTCAGAGAGGAGGAAACTAGTTGTTACTCAGTCGCTCTGTGTGAGGGGGAACCAGTGGCCGTGTGGTGGTGGTGGTGGTGGAGTGTGGGTTTGTGTGTGTGTGTGTGTCCCCATCCTCTCCCTGCAGCCTCCAGAGGTTGGGATGAGCACCCTCAGTTTGCAGAGGAGGAAACGGAAAATCCCTGGGCTTCAGGAACTGGCCAGGTCTTTGCGAGCCAGCAGAATTAGAAGGGATGGTCCTTTGGGCAGTGGCCCACCCAGGTGTTCCACTTCAGGCCTCGCTACTCCGGGGTTTGGCCTTTGCAGCGCCTCCCCCCTACCGGGAGCTCCTCGGAGCTGTTTTTCTGTTGGTCCCAGAGAAACTGAGGGGCCGGGAGGGCATAAATGCCCTGGGCTGGGGGGGGGGGTGGGGGATACCCTGCCTGGATGAGGGACAGCTGGGGAGGAGTCTGTGGGTTATTAGCTGCCGGGAGGGCCCACAGTGTCTCCCAGCTGTCCAGGTGCCCTGCATGGCCTCCCATGCTGTGCTGTCCCATGCCCTGCTGCTCTGCCAAAGTGCCCTATCTCTGACTGCCCAGGGCCTACCAGACCTTCATGTACCCCCCATCCCCCTCTGGTCCCCTGCCCCCTCCCCCATGCTTGGGGAAAGGCGACTGCCTGGGTGGGCCCGCACCTGTCCTCGACATGGGCTGCTCAGACCTCACTGCCGCCCCTCCTGCCCCCACCTCCTCAGCCTCCCGGGCTCCAGGGAGAAGTGCCGAATGACCCCCGAGCAGTTCGCCGCACAGAGGCTGAAGAAAGCGTATTACCTGAACCAGAAAATTCCCGATCCGGTAGGAGACCTAAAAACCCCACCCCCGTCCCCCTCCGTTTCCTCTCCGGGGTGACTTGTCCCCACTTCAGCCCCGTCCCCTGCTTCCCAGGTTCTGTAAGCCCCTCGGGTGGGCAGGGGTGGGGACAGGCACGTCCCGTTGCTCCCAGGGCTGCGCTTACCCCTGGGAGGAGGCGGAGGTGGGTGTCCTTTCCCGGGCTGGGAAGCCAAGTCTGAGTTTGCTGGGCTGTGGTCTGGGCCCTTCCAGCCACTTAACATCGGCAGGGCCCGAGTGGGGTGGGGGCTACCAGGTTGCCGCAGATTGTCCCCCCCCCCCCTCTGCCGCCAGCCCCCTCCCCTCAGCCGGTCTGTCCCCGCCTTCTGTGGCCCAGGACTTCTACGCCTCCGTGCTGGACGTCCTGACTCCGGACGACGTCCGCGTTCTGGTGGAGATGGAGGACGAGTTTTCCCGGCGCGGGCAGTTTGAGCGGATCTTCCCTTCCCGCATCTCCTCCCGCTATCTGCGCTTCTTCGAGCAGCCGCGCTACTTCAACATTCTCACCACCCAGTGGGAGCAGAAGTACCATGGCAACAAGCTCAAAGGTGACAGACACACTTGCTACTTGCTGGCCGCCCGCTCCCCTGTCTGGCGGCCCCAGACTCCCCTCTCTTAAGCAGGTCCCACCCCCATCTTGTGTTCCAGGCGTAGACCTGCTTCGCAGTTGGTGCTATAAAGGGTACCACACGGGCGCCATCTCGGACTCTGCCCCCATGGTAAGGGCGGGCGGGGGCAGCATGACCCTCCCGGGGAGTCACTGCAGCAGGCTCCCTGGAGTGCTTTCTCCCGGTGATCAAAAGTACTGGATCAAAAGTACTGGATGCGGTTCTAAATGGTGGCGGTGGTGGGGAGGGGGGCGTGGAGGGGCCCCTGGGGCATGGCCCCTGGAGGGGCCCATGAGGCTAGGGAGCTCAGCTGGGGCCAGGGAAGAGACCTCCAGCCCAAGCCCCCCTCCCCCGACCTAACCTCGCTAGAGCCCCTTGGGGCTTATGGGTTGCTTTGCCCCCTAGTGGTCCCTACCGGCATCCATCCTGACCGCCCCCAAAGGCGACTTGACGTACAGTCTCTTATGCAGATCTGAGGCCGGCAGACCAGGGTGAGTGAGTGCCGCCGAGCCAGGGGTGGCCTTGGGAGGCGACCAGCTCCTCAGGGAGAATAGCAGAGTGGGCCCCCTGCTCTCCCCCACCCTGCCCCTCCTTCTCCCTCCTCTCCCTCTTCCTCCAGCCTCCTTTTCCTCTTCCTCCCCCTCCTCTTCATCCTCCTCCCCCCTCCTCATCCTCCTCTCCCCTTCCTCTTCCTTCTCTCCCTCTCCCCCATCTTTCCCTCTTCCTCCCTTTCCTCCTCTTCCTCCCCCTCCTCCTCGCCGTGCACCCTAGCCAGGGATGCCTGGCAGAAAGCAGAGCGGGCAGCCCTGCCCTCTGGCTCGGCCGTCTTTCGTCGCCTCCTCCCTTGCCCTGGAGAGCATCAGATACCGTTTGCGGCCACTTGGTCCTCGGGTCACAGTGGGCTCAGAGGGCCGGGTCCGGAGGCAGGAGGCGGATCACAGGGCAGCGACTCCGCCACCCAGAGTCTCATTCATCCCTTCCTCTCCCGGCCCCTGGCCCCTCCTCAGAAAACACAGCTCCTCCGGGGAACTCCTGCCACCCGCCGCCGAAGCGGGCGCCTCTCCCAAGCCCAGGAAGACGGAGGAGGCCAGCAGAGAGGCCGGCCCCCTGCTGCCCGACATCCGCTTCTCCAGGCAGGCCACGCACTTCGCGTTCGTCCCTGCCTCGCAGCCCGGCGGCGACCGCCTCCTGGCCACGGCCAGCCCCTGACCGGCCCCCGGCCGCGCTCCCTGCCCGGGAGCCCCAGCGCTAGCTACCTCACGGGAGCGGCCGGCCGGCCGGCCAGCCAGCCAGAGCCTCGCCCCTCAGCCCGCCCCTCCGCAAGAGTATTTTTTGGAAGCAGAGGAAGCGCAGAGGCGGGTCGCCAGAGGGGTGCCGGGGCCGGGGAGGAGGTGAGGAAGGGGGGGAAGGGGTCCCCCTCGCCACCTCCGCCCAGCTTGCACCTCACGCTTGAGCAGAGAAGCCAGCGATGGCCCACTCAGCCTTATAAAGCGGGATTCGGTTTCTACCTCTATATTGCTGTGTGTGATTTGTGGGGCGTCCCCGGGGACAAGAAGGCCCCCCCCGGAGAGCCCCGTTCTGTCAGTCTGACTCCGTCCGTTTCCCCCCCCCCCCCCCCGATTTCTACAGACAAGGGACGGGCGGGGAGAGGCCATGTGATGAGGGGAGGGGGGACCCGGCTCCTTTCTCCATCCCAGATAGCAGCCCCCGGCGACACGGGGCTGCTCCCTTCTGGTGCTCCCTGCGGAGCCCCTGCCTCTCTGTGAGACACTGACTGACCACCCCCTCCTGGGCCCACCCTCTCACCCCACCGAGGAACCCTCGTTACCCTTTTGCTCTTGGCTGTGCCCTCAGACCTGGGAACGTGGGCAGAGGAGGGGGCGAGGGAAAGGGAATCGGGGTGAGGGCATCCAGGGGATAAGGAGGTGGGGGGGTGATGAGGGAATTGGGGGCTCCCTCAGCACCTTTGGCCTGCTGACGCTCCTTGCCTCCTCTCTTTTGGGCTTCTGGGCTCGGCCCCAGGTCTCTGCTGAGGGGGCGCCCGGCCAGCCTGGGACCTGGCGGGCGGATCTCCCTAGCGAGCGGTGCCAGGAACAGCGCCTGCCACCTCGGCCTGGGTTCACGCCCCCCCCCCCCCCCCCCCCCCCGCACAGGGCCATGGAACCGCATCAATTGAAGGGCTGGGGCAGCCATTACAGCTGCCGAACACGGAACCCCCAGAAATCCTTAACTCAGAATCGAGAGATGGTACAGTGGGTAAGGCACTTGCCTTGCATGTGTCCAACCCACGTTGGACCCCTGAGCGCTGCCCAGTGTGGCCCCAAACAAAAACCCCAAATCAACTCCCCCTTCCCCTGCCCCAATCCAAGGTGCTGCTGGCAGTGGCCACCCAGGTGGCCGTTCTCTGTGAAGAGGGGTCTCGCGAGGGAAAGAGGCGAAAAAGCTCTGGCAGTGCATGTGCATTGGGGAGGGGTTTCCCAGAGCAGAGGGTGTCTTTGTTGGGGGTAGGGGGGAGGTAGGAAGGAGTGTTAGACCCTGCGGGGCTGGGATCTGAGCTGGGGGAGGGTCGCAGCCGCAGGCTAGACAGGTGCCTTTGTGCTCGCCCTCGATCTTGAGCCCTGCCCCGTCCTGCCCGGCCACTTCCCGCATACTGCCCACCCAGCCCTGGGTGACCCCATCTCCGGGCCCAAGGGAAGAGAGTTCAGGGCCACGCCGCCTGCCCCAGCCAGTCCAAAGGCCATATTGACCAGCTGTGGGGGAAGGCTGGTGTCAAAGTCCTGGGGCCACCGCCAATGCTCCTGAGCACAGAGCCCGGAGTGACTCTGAGCCCGAAAACAAAACAAGGTCAGGATTTCCAGAAACCTGTCGTGGGGGAAGGGGCTGCTAGACCTTGCCCATCTCTAGTCGGACGCAGTTTCCTAGCCCAGCGCCCCCCGTGAACCCGGGGCAGTGGACACCCCCAATATAGCCAACGGGCTGAGGTGTGGGCCTGAGCCCGGGAGGCCGCGCATCCCTGTTCCCTGGACTTGCCCCCACTTCTCACTTCTCCCCATCTCCCCCCCCCCCCCCGCCAAGAACTGCCCCTACACACACACACACACACACACACACACACACACACTGCACAGCCAGTCCGTTTCCAGCCTTGCAGGAGCTATGGAGGCCTTCTGAAATGAAGCGGGTCACGGGAACAGCTTCCTCGGGGGTTGGAAGCAGGTTGGAAACGCCTTCTGTGTCTTGCTCGGGAGCGGGGACCACACCTGCCTCTGTGCAGGGCTCACTCCACCTGCCCGGGGGACCATCTGTGGTGTGGGGGATCGAATCAGGGTCGGCCACGAGCGAGACGAGTGTCTGAACCTCGGCGCCATCCCCCCTACCCCCGACCCAGCCCTGTGCTTCATCTCTGTCACCTTTGCAAGTGGGAGAAGGGCTCAGAACCCACATTTCACTTGCACCCCGGACAAGGCACTCCCCTGCTTACAAAAGCCTTCAGGTTTTGCAGATCAGGGGCTGGTGGAAAAGGCACCTGGCAGCGTTGATGGGGGTCTGGGAACCTTTCCATCTGCGGGTAGTCAGGAAGTGGCTTGTTTGGGACTTGGCTGCGGAGTTCCTTGGTAAGAAGAGAGCCCCTGTTAAGTGGGGGACACAGTGGGGGTGCGGGGGTTCTGGGGGGTGGACTAAGGATTTGGGAGAGGGGCAGGAGATCAGAGAGGGCTTCCAATCCTACTCTAGTCCTTATCTTCATCATAATCCCCACTCTCCCCTAGTTACCTAGAAATCATGAAGGGTCGGGGGACACATAGGTGGGGTTGAACATTGTCATAACAACAAACAGGTAAAGCCACTCCTTCAGGGGAAGTTCTAGGAGATTAACTGAAGGACAAAATCTCATCTGAGGGTTCAGCACTCTTGATTACGAGGAGATCCGCTCACGGGCAGGATTCCATCTAGGGCGCATTGCTTTCTCCTTTCCTCAGCAAGTAATTCATTTAAACAAGCACAGTAAATTTACTTCTTACTGATATTTCTGGTCATTTTGTATGAACACAGTAAGAAATATATTAAGCTTAAAGGTTGGCTCTTCCTGGGGACATCTCGCTGTACATTCCAGACCACAGTCCTCAAGCCAGGTTAATCTTTCTTAACCCCAGCAGGGTCCTTATTCAGTTACTTCTTTCTGGGTCATGACAGTTTGTACCATGACCATGCTTTTAGCTTACTCTACTTATGGTGCTTAGCTTGTCCCCTTTCGATGCCAGGGTAGCTCACAGCTTGCCCTGGGTCCATCCAGTCCCTTCATCAGGACCCTCCTTTTGAGGGTGTTGGGCAACTGAGACTTAGGTAAATATGACAGATGCCCAGGAGTAAATGTCATTTGGAATCAGTTAATTCCCCTATTACAAAAGCATAGCATCATCTGTCTTCCTGTGTCTATACAAAAAGGTCGTTGCTAAACCATGCAAGTGACATAAAAGCAAGAGAAAAGCAATACAGGATTATTAGTGATCAATTCCTCCGCCCCTCTCGGAGAGCCCGGCAAGCTACCGAGAGTATTTGATATGCCAAACACAGTAACAACAAAGTCTCCAATGGAGACATTACTGGGCCCGCTCGAGCAAATCGATGATCAACGGGAGGGCCTTTAAAAAAAAAAAGTGATTGATGGAACTCAGGGGCACTGTTGTGGGAGTAGCTCAGTAAACCTAAACTCCCTGCGGGAGGAGCAAGGACAACCCAATATTAGCCAACGGGGTTGAGGGAATGTGTGTGTGTGGGGGGGGGATTGGTTCACACCCAGCAGAGCTCATGGCTTCTCTCCTGGTAGAGCTCAGGAGACTGGGGTGCCAAGACTCGAACCCAGTCAGCCATATGCAGGACAAGTGCCCCACCCTCTGTACTGTCTCCAGGCCTAGTTGGGGTTCACGTGTAGTGTTGTTGGGGTGACTTCTGGTGCTGCGCAGAGGGCTTTGGCTCCCAGTGGCATTGGGGATCAAATCGGGTTTCTTACACAGAGGCAGGCACTGCGGACCTTTGAGCCGTCTCCCTGGCCGGCTTCTGCCAAAGTTCTGTGCTTAGACACGGCCTCAGTAGCTCAATAGCGCCTGCACTGCCATCCTGCTGGTCAGCCCCCGACGCAATGGTTTGCGGAGCAGAGAAAGACCTAAAAAACACAAGAAGCTTTCGAGACACCAGTTCCATAGAGTGACTCAGTGAAAGCCGGGCAGTCTCGAAGGTCAGCGACATCTCGGCCCTCCAGCGTCCAGCAGTTCACCCCTTTTTTCTTCTTTCCTATTCAGTCACCGTGAATTCACATGTTTCATGCATAGGTCCCAGGCATACAGTGTCCCAACACCAGTCCCTTCACCAGTGTCCAACTTCCCTCCCCCAATATCCCCCGTTTCCCTCCCATCCCTCGGCTCACTCCAGGATAGGCACTTTTTGAAATATTTTTAGGGGGCTGGAGCTATAGTATAGCGGGTAGGGCATTTCCTGTGCATCTGGCTAACCCGAGTTCGATCCCCAGCATCCCATTTGGTCCCCTGAGCACCACCAGGGGTAACCCCTGATTACAGCCGGGTGTGACACACAAAAAAAAATTTTTTTCAGGCATTTTTCTAAAATTGAGAGGGTTTCACGCATGTCACATTTACTGCCTGTCGGGGCTCCTTTCCCAAGTGGCCACTCTCTTCCTTCCCCCCATCATTGTCCCCGCTGTCCTGTATCCCCTATCTGTCCCCCTTCCTGCTGATGACCAGTTACCATGGTCTTCATTTCTTTTTTTTTTTTTTTTTTTTTTTTGCTTTTTTGGGTCACACCCGGCAATGCTCAGGGGTTACTCCTGGCTTTGCCTCAGGAATTACTCCTGGTGGTGCTTGGGGGACCCTATGGGATGCTGGGAATCGAACCCAGGTCGGCCGCATGCAAGACAAACACCCTACCCGCTGTGCTATCGCTCCAGCCCCCCTTCATTTCTTTTACCTTTGGGCCACTCAGAGCAAATTGATGAACAATGGGAGGACAGTGACAGATGTTTTTTTGTATCCCACATGTGAGAGCCATCTTTCTGTGTGGATTTTTCCCTCTGACTAGCTTCATTCAGCATGATTTTCTCCAGATCCATCATCACGAATCACATGCTGCCATCTTTTCTTACAGCTGTAGAAAAGTGCATCTATGTGTATCAGAGTTTCTGCATCCATCCATTCCATGTTTTTTGCACTTGGGTTTTTCCCAGATGTTTACTATTGTGAATAGTGCAACAAAAAGCATCCGAGAGCAAAGATCTCTTCTGCTTTGTGTTTTTCTGGGCACTTTGAGCATACTCTGAGAAGCGGATTTGCTGGGTCAGGTGGAAACTCGATTCTTAGTTTTTTGAA